ACGGAGTTTTGCTCTTGTTACCCAGGCTGGAGTGCAATGGCATGATCTCGGCTCACCGCAACCTCCGCCTCCTGGGTTCAGGCAATTCTCCTGTCTCAGCCTCCTGAGTAGCTGGGACTACAGGCACGCGTCACCATGCCCAGCTAATTTTTTGTATTTTTAGTAGAGATGGGGTTTCACCATGTTGACCAGGATGGTCTCGAGCTCTTGACCTCGTGATCCACCCGCCTCGGACTCCCAGAGTGCTGGGATTACAGGCGTGAGCCACTGCACCCAGCCCCAAATTTTTGTATTGTTAAAAAATGTTAATGATCATCTGAGCCTTCAGTGAGTTCTAATCTTTTTACTGGTGGACGGTCTTGCCTCAGTGTTGATGGGTACTGGCTGATTGGGGTGGTGGTTGCTGAAGATTGGAATGGCTGTGGCAGTTTCTTAAAATAATGACAACAGACCAGGTGTGGTGGCTTATGCCTGCAATCCCAGCACCTCGGGAGGTCAAGGCAGGTGGATCACTTGAGGCCAGGAGGTCAAGACCAGCCTGGCAAACAAGGCGAAACCCCATCTCTACTAAAAATACAAAAATTAGCCAGGCGTGATGGTGTGTGTCTGTAATCCCAGCTACCCTGGAGGCTAAGGCATGAGAATTGCTTGAACCTGAGAGGTGGAGTTTGCAGTGAGCAGAGATTATACCACTGCACTCCAGCTTGGGCAACAGAGTGAGAGCCTCTCTCTCAAAAAAAAAAAAAAAAGACAACTATGAAGTTTGCCACATAGATCAACTCTTCCTTTCAGGAACGATTTCTCTGCAGTATATGATGCTTCTTGATAGAGTTTACCCATGGTAGAACTTCTTTCAAAAATGGAGTCAATCATCTCAAACCCTGCCACTGCTTTATCAACTAAGTTTATGTAATATTCTATATCCTTTGTTGTTATTTCAACAGTGTTTACAGCATCTTCACCAGGTGTAGATTCCAGCTCAAGAAACTACTTTCTTTGCTTATCCTTGAGAATCAATTCCTCATCCCTAAGGAATTTGATCACGAGATTGCAGCCATTCGGTTCTGTCTTCAGGCTCCACTTCTAATCCTAGTTCTCTTGCTACTTTCACATCTGCAGTTACTTCCTCCAGTGAAGTCTTGAACCCCTTCAAAATCACCCATGAGGGTTGGAATCAGCTTCTTCCAAACTCCTGTTAATATTGATACGTTGACCTCCTGCCATGAATCTTGAACGTCCTTAGTGGTATCTATAATGGTGAATTCTTTCCAGAAGGTTTTTGCCCAAATCCACCCAGTGGAATTACTTATTTTGTAAATTCTAATACTGGAAAGTCTAAATTGCTCCTCGATCCATGGGTTGCAGAATGAGTGTTGTCTTAACAGATATGAAAACAACGTTAATCTCCTTGTATACTTGGTGTTGGGTGACCAGGAGCCTTATAAATGAGCAGTAATATTTTGAAAGCAATCTTCTTTTTCTGAGCAGTAGGTCTCAACAGTGGGCTTAAAATAATCAGTAAACTTTGCTGTAAATTAATGTATAGTCATCCAGCCTCTGTCATTTCATTTATAGAGCACAGATGGAGTAGATGTTACATAATTCCTAAGGGCCCTAGGATGTTTGGAATGGCAAATGAGCATTGGCTTCAAATTAAAGTCATCAGCTGCATTAGTCCCTAATAAGAGTCAGCCTGACCTTGGAGGCTTTGAAACCAGTCATTGACTTCTCCTCTCTAACTGTGAAAATCCTGGATGACATCTTTTTCCAGTAAAAGGCTGTTTTGCCAACATTGAAAATCTGTTGCTTAGTGTAGCCACTAACCTAGATCTTGATCTTAGCTAGATCTTCTGGAGAACTTGCTGTAGCTTCTCCATCAACAGTTGCTGCTTCGCCTTGCACTTCTACGTTCTGGAGATGGCTTCTTTCCTTAAACCTTATGAACCAACCTCTGCTAGTTTCCAGCTTTTCTTCTGCAGCCTCCTCACCTCTCTTAGCCCTCATAAAACTAAAGAGAGTTAGGTCCTTGCTGTTGATTAGACTTTGGCTTAAGGGAATGTTGTGGCTTGTTTGGTCTTCTATCAGACCACTCAGAGTTTCTCCATATTAACCATAATGCTCTTTTACTTACTTGTCACTCACTCCAGTGCTCACTGGAGTAGAATTTTTAATTTCTTCCAAGAACTCTTCCTCTGCATTCACAACTTGGCTGTTTGGTGCAAGAAGCCAGCCTGAGCTTCCGACATGTCTTCCTCATCAAACTTAGTCATTTCTAGCTTTTGATTGAAAGTGAGAGACATGCGACTCTTCTTTCATTTAAACACTTATAGGCCATTGTAGAGTTGCTGATTGCCCTAATTTCAATATTGCTGTGCCTCAGGGAATAGGGAGACCTGAAGAGAAGGTGAGAGACAGGGAATGGCTGGTCAGTAGAACTGTCAGAACACATATAACAACTAATGATTAAGTTTAGCATCTTATATGGGCACGCCTCATGGTGCCCCAAAACAATTACAGTAGCAGCATCAAAGATCAGTGACTTCGCATCACCATAACAGATATAATAATAATGAAGATGGGTGTCCATAGACTTGCATATACACAGTTGCCACAAGCCTTCAATTCCTAAAGAAACACGCTACCTGTGAAATGCAATAGAGCAGATGCCATAAAACAAGGTGTGTGTGTGTGTGTGTAGAGGGGAGGATATTTATCTATATGTGCATATAATTATTCAAGCTTCCTCAGCCACCTTTTAGGACTTCCTTCTGTGGGGGAGCTAATTCCCTTCATTATGCATCTGTTCTTAATAGATTGACTCTCTGTGGGTGACATTTTTATCAGGCTTCTGGAGTAGGGGGATCTCCTGTAGTTCTGCCTTTCAGAGCCTCGACATAGGTTACGATGTAAACCACTGTGTGCTCCTGATACGGAAAGACGACTGTGCTTTGTTGGAAGATGATACTATGTGATTTGTTACCAGAGTGGAGCCATCCCTGCTTCAGGCTGTTCCTAGATGTTTAAAAGAACATTCCAAAGGACTTTAAGAAACTTTGTGCTACCATTTCTGTATTCCTTTCCAAATCTTTTGTAAAATGTTAGAATTCAGACCACACTTTCCAAGCTTTGGAGGCAAACCCCTTGGCCGTGAATCCCTGGAGGTTCTCACCTGTGGGTGGTGTCAGGCATCACAACAGGATGTGCTTTAAGAATCCAAATGAATTCAGTTAAACCACATGGGGCAGGGGCTTAAACTTGAGTTGAATTTACTCATCTCTGGCCAGCTATTAATCCTATAGCTAAATCATATATGTAAAGGAAGGGGAAAAAATCCAACCTGACTAACCACACAACAAACACTAACTAAAACCCAGGTAACGTGTGGTGCATCTCTGTGCATCTCTGTGCTGCTTAGTAAAACTTGAAGTTTCTTAATCTCGTGAAGTGACAGAAATTACCTGGGGGAATTTCAGGTGTTTCTGGTAAACTCTTTGGGGAAGTAAATAGTCAGCAAACTTCCTGAATGCTGGGAGTTTTGCCTGCAGCAAAGCAAAGCTAAGACAAGTGGATTTCTTAAAAAGACCACCAGCAGCAGAGGAGAAGCCAAGCTAGGAAGAGGCAGGCTGGGGAGCCCAGGGGATAAATTCCACCCCGTCTGCCCAGCAGGCCTGGCCTTAAGCAAAACTGAGCCAAGAGGGAGATGCTTCCTCTCCACCCACCTCCGTGAGTGTCCCCACTGGGCTGACCTTGTTCACTCCTGCTCTTGGGTGTCCGTACCTCTCGGTGGAGGCATTTTGGAAGTAAACACACCTTGTTCACCACCTCAAACTGTGTCCTGATGTTTTTAAATTATGGCACATGTAGCTATCAAAAATAAATGTGCTGAAGAGTATATAAGAACATGGAGAGATGCTTTCCATACTCTTAGTTCAAAAGGCAGATGACCATTTTTGTAAGAAAAAAATTAATAAGAAGACAAGCACATACATCTATGCATAGAAGGAAAGCCTGGAGGGAGAGCCCCATGTTAGCAACTCGTGTTTGCAGGTGGTAGACCTGCCAGCGATTTTCGCACTGAGCTGTATTGCTTTGGTTCTATGTGCATTTCCTCAATTCTCCAGTGTGGATGAGCTCAGTGTGAGTTAACATGTCAAGAAGTGACAGGTTTCCCAAGGACCTTATATTTGTAATGCTTGAGGATTGATGGAGCCAGGAGGTTTGTGTTGGCTCCGGAATCTCCCCTGTGAGGATGCTGGAAGGGGAAGCCCAGGGTTGACGAGGCAGTGAGAGCGTCTCCAACTCCACACCATGTACAGCTACTTCTGCCCTGCTTCAGGGAAGCGCCTGTTTCACAATCTCATTAAATCAAAATAGTCGGGCTTGCCCATAGTTAAAATGTGTTCATTTAACCAACAAACAAAAATAGGCTGGGTACGGTGGCTCGTGCCTGTAATCCTAGCACGTTGGGAGGCCAAGGTGGAAGGATGGCTTGAGCCAAGAGTTTGAGACTAGCCTGAGCAACACAGCAAGACCCTGTCTCTACAAAAATTAAAAAATTAGCCAGGTATGGTGATGCATGCCTGTTGTCTCAGCTACTTGGGAGACGGAGGCAGAAGGATCACTTGAGTCCGGGAGGTAGAGGCTGCTGTGAGATAAGATTGTGCCACTGAACTCCAGCCTGTGACAGAGACCCTGTCTTTTAACACACACACACACACACACACACACACACACACACACACACACACTCTGCTTGTAGGCAATTCACTTGCAGTTGACTGTAGCCTCTTTCTCGTACTTGGGGCCGAACTAACCTCAGGAGAAGGAAGCTCCTGAGCCCAGTAGTGTGGTCATTGCAACAAATAACACAGAGGAAGAGCTTCACCCCCACCCCGCCTCCACGCCCGCAAGCCTGGCTCATCCACGTGCACATTGTCTTCCACAGTGTCTCCTTTCGTAGGCTGTTTTGTGAAATCTGCTTTTCCCTTCTTGTTTTCCAGTCCCCCTAAACCAACTGTGTTCATCTCTGGGGTCATTGCCCGGGTAAGTCTTGGGGTGTCTGGAGTGGGCTTGAGGCCTTTGCATGGCAGCATGGGGTCTCTGGGTTCCTTCTGCTTTTGTTAAACTCTACCTAGAGTAACCCAGCAGCACTGCTCCTCTCATCTGTGGCCATGGCCCTCTTCATTGCCATATTTCCCCGAAGGGTGCTCTTGCAGACCCCAGGCCGGACTCATGGCTTGGGTCACATCCCTTACCTTTCCAGAGCTGCCCTCTGGTGAGACCCAAAGATGTGACTTGAGTGCAGACCTGCCACCAGTGAGCCCCACAGTATTGCTGTCCACAGGGCCACTGCTCTCAGGATGTTCACTGAGATGATGAACTTATCAGAGGATGCCTGAAGAAAGTGCCAGTGTTGGGGACAGCCCACTGGTGGTGGAGCTGTAACCATAGCCAGCCAACCTGCCAGCCAGAGAAGTATGGCTCCAGCCTGCCCATGCGGGGCCCACCCTGGTCACACCCACGTTGGCACAGAAGCCCATTGGTCCCTCTGGAAAATAGCGGGTCCCTCCTGAGACTGGGCAGGCAGAAACTGGCTGTGTCTCACAGCCGCCCTGTGCATTTCCTTCCCGGCCAGTGCCCCAGGCCTGGACATCCGAATTTAAGATCCTGGATTTGGTTCTGTCCTTCTCCCAATTCAAATAGTTTCAAGTACAGATCTAGCAGAAGAAAGCCCCCAGAACCCAAGTCAGTTCTAAGAGAGGTGCGTGTTTCTGTGTTTCATGGCATGGGACAGAGCCAGTGAGTGTTCTTGCTGCCCTGCCGGTATGTGGGACTCAGTGCCAGCTGCCATTCCCTGGTTCTGATGGCAGAGGACCCCCACCACCCCAGGAGACAGGCTTCTACCTTTACTCATTCACAGTCCCTACCCATCCTGCAAGGACGCTGGTGGGCACTGGCCTGGGGCTTCCTCATGCACAAAACCCATGCTCCCTGCAGGGTTGCTGGTGGGCGCTGGCCTGGAGCTTCTTCACCCATGAACCCCATGCTTCCTGCGGGGACGCTGGCCTGGGCCTTCCTCATGCACGAACCCTGTGCTTCCTGCGGGGATGCTGGCCTGGGCCCTCCTCATGCATGAACCCCATGCTTCCTGTTGATCAGCCTGTGCTTTCCGTGTATCTTGACAGGGTGACAAAGACTTCCCCCCGGCGGCTGCACAGGTGGCTCACCAGAAGCCGCATGCCTCCATGGACAAGCATCCTTCCCCGAGAACCCAGCACATCCAGCAGCCACGCAAGTGAGCCTGGACCCCACCAGCCTCCCCCGCGGCCCCAGCTCTGCTGCACCTGGCATTTTCCCGACAGAGAGAACCAGCACTTTCTCCCAAATCCCACTCTGCTGGGAAATCTAAGGCAAAATGAGGTGCTCTGTCCTTTGCCTTATATTTCCATATTTGAAGCTAGAGACGGCTCCAGCCCAAACCTTGTTTACGGGGAGTCTGGTTGGATGTCATTTGAGGATTATTGTGCCCCCAGAGGTGCCATTAGCAGAACTTGCCAAGATCTGAGGAAAACTGTAGCTTTAGTTCTATTTCAGCAGTCACCTGACAGCCCTGTCTGTGGTCTTCAAAACAAGAAGGCACAAATTTGAGAGGATCAGATTAAGGTTAAGAGAAAAGCTCATACATTGCATGGTTTTTAGTATTAGGGCAATAAAATCTCAACACCTACAGGTGAGGAAGAAATAAGGGAATTCGTCTGGGTGGCCCGTCAGGCCCTTAGAGGCAGGGAACAACAACACCGAATTTCTCTCCCTTGAGATGGGGGATCCTGTGCAGGCTGATGAGGCACACACTAGAAAAGCCAAAAGCATACGTCTTAGAGATAGCCCCTCAATTCCAGAAGGCAGCATGCCAAAAAATGAGGCTGGAGGCAGGTGGCTCCGAGGGAGGCCTTCTGGAATGGGGTCTCAGCGTGGCAGGCCCAGCATCGCCTCAGGCCAGACGGGCTCCACCAGGAGTTGAAGCAAGGCTGGCCTTTCAGGAATCACCTCCTGAGCCACTTCAGAGTTCTGGAAGTGCCCACAGCCCAGGGTCGAAGAATAGACTTCTAGCTCATTCTGGAACACGTGAGCCAGAGAGTCAGAAGCTTGGAAAGACTAGTTAAAAAACCTGCCCTTTGTCTCCCTAGGGACATGGAATACCACATTCCATTTGTGCTAGAAAAACCTATTCACTGGTGAGTCTAACTGCCCCAAATGCCTCCCGCCCGTGTGCACAGCTGCCTGGCCCACCGTCACTTGGGCACGTCAGGTGGTCCTCCGATTTTTAGACGAATTTCCTGTCTAGAGGTGTCCTAGTCTGCTCACTGGCTGGTAGCATAGCATCTCCGAAAGGCAAGAGGGCTCACTTAGACAAAACTCCAGTGCTTGTAGAGGGCCCGACTGTCCTGCTCACCCTCAGCGGATCTGCTGCAGGTCAGCAACTGTGCCGTGAGCCGTGGGCCATGGCCAACCAGCAGCCTTTCTGGTACCATTCTCCAGTTCACGTCTGCCAGCTGGTGAGGGCAGAGGCAGACCTGGTCAGACCCAGCGGCCCCTCCTCCGTGAGGGAGCATGCCATGGCCTCACACTTGAAAGGCAGTGTTTGGTTTCCCATTTCATCTTCTTAAGGGAAGCCGGTGCATACACTTCAAGGCCCTGTTGCCACCTATTTCCTCATCAGTTGGCATATACTGAGGGTGGCTTTTAGAGACCCAGGCTTGGTTGGCAGCACTGCTGTGGAACACCCCAGCAGGCCTTTTGGAGCCAGCACCCAGGAGGGATGCCACACTCCCACAGCACCAGGTCAGCCCCTGCAGACCCCTGCCCCTGCCGCTGCAGAAATCCAGAAGCGTCCTTAGTGCTTCTCAGGGTTCAGCGGAAGGGAGGGCTGTTCTTTCCAGAGGTGCGTTTCTTTATGTACTGTTAGCTGGATCTGGCATGCATCTGTGGGCTTTAGATCATTACATCCAAATTATTTGCCTAAATGAGCTTATCAATTGTTAACTTGAAGAATATTAATTGTTTCTAATAAAGCTCCTGCATTTCTCTCCAGCTTTGTTCTTATAGATCAGAGATTCCCTTTTACATTTTACCAGGGTTGTCAGATGGTTTCAATAGAAATACAAACACGCGTACATGATGGATATTATCGAAACTTATTTTCAGACACAAAAGTCAAACTCTTGGACACCTGCTTACTCGAGTCTAATTATCTAGTTAAAATGTCATAAAATGGAAAAGTTTAATACCATTGATTAAAACGCATTACCTGGACCCAGCAGCTGGCCTGTGCCAGGCAGGCCCTTTGGGAACAGATGTAAGAGAGAATGATTAATAGTAAGCCCAGGGGTGACAGTGAACAGCCTCTGATGTACAAGATGTTTGCCGTAATCAGAAGGTCTCCTGTAACCCTGATGAGAAAATAATCACAACTGTTACCCGGGCGGTCCAGAATCAAGTTGGAATTTGAATGGGAGGGGCCCGAGGTTTTCTCAGCCAGGGCCTTATTCGTCAGGGAGCGCCAGGCCAAGCTTGGGTGTGGCTGGAGCCTACACCGCCAACAACCCTGGCCTGGCCTAGTGTTGCCCCTGAAGCTGCTGCTCGTATTCCTGCCTCCTGTCTCCCACGCTAAGCTGAGGACAGGAACCAGGCCCTTACTCGTTTTCTATCATTGAGCAGAGAGTCCATTCTCTGATACGTGGCGGTGGCCAGAAATGCCAAATATCCAACAAGCATGGAACAGAGCCACCCCCAGGCTCTCCACATCATTCTCAACATCACTGTCCTGTGCCAGTTTTCCATGGCTGCCTTAACAAAGTCACAAATTAAGCCACAAACTGGGTGGCTTCATACAGCTGGAATGTATTGTCTGGCAGTTCTGGGGAGGTTTGAAATCGTATTGGCCCAACCACGCTCCCTCCGCAGGCTCAGTGGGAGGGTCCTTCCTGGCCTCTCCCAGCTCCTGGCGGCTGTGGCCATCCTTGGTGTTCCTTGGCTTGTGGGCAGCCAAGTCACTCTGGTCTCTGACTCTGCTGTCACATGGCCATCCCTGTCTGTGCATCTGTGTCCAACTCTCCCTCGTTTTCTGAGGACACCAGCCATTATATGAGGGTCCACCTATTCCAATATGACTCGTCTTCACAGCTACCTCTGCAGAGACTGTTTCCAAATAAGATCACATTCACAGGCACTGGGATTTAGGACTTCAACGTATCTTTTGGGGGAACATTGTTCACCCAAGAACATCAACCGTGTGCTGAAAAGCCAGAAACCTCACTCCCAGCTCACATCATTTGAAGAACAGCTCATTTAGTACATCGCTTTTCTGCAAACACTTTGCTGGGAGCATCCTTCACCTGCTGCAGGTTTCATGACTCAGCATCTCTGGCCACGCAGCAGCCCAAGCCTGGCTGCAGCAAGTACAGAGAGAAGACTGGAAGCAGAGACCTGAAGGGCCGGGGTCCCCGGCTGCGGAGGCTGTCTGCCCTGGGTCCACTGACTGAGGGGCCGCTAGCAGTCACATGTGTCCTCGGCCCAGAGAGTCACAGTGTTGCCACTGTGCTCCATGGATGGTGGCTGTACCACTTCACAGGAGGAACGACTGAAGTTCAGGGTCCAGTGCAAAGCCACTTTTAGCAAGGAAGATAGATGGCCAGTAACCACAACAAAAGATGCTCAGTGTCTGTAGTCACCAGGGAGCTGCAGGTCAAAGCCACAATGAAATACCACTTCACCAAGTTGGCTAGAAGCACAGTCAGTGACACAAGGGTGTTGACAGGGATGCAGAGAAATTGGAACTCGTGCAGTGCTGTTGGGAGTGTATGGTGCAGCTGCTTGGGAAAACAGTTGGGTGTTCCTCAAACAATTAAACATAGGGTTATCATATGACCCAACAATCCACTCCTAGGTATATACACCCAAGAAAATTGAAATATGTCCGTGCAAAAACTTGTAAACAAATGATACGGCAGCATTATTCACAATAGCCAAAAGGAAGAAACAACACAGAAGTTCATCCACTGGAGAATGGATGAACAAAATGTAGAGCCACAGTGGAGTACTATTCAGCCAGAAAAAGGAATGAAGGACTGATACACACTACAACATGGATGAACTTTGAAAACATGATGCTAAGTGAAAGAAGCCAGTCACCAAAGATCACATTATGATGCCATTCATAGGAGATGTCCAGAACAGAGAAATCTAGAGAGACACTGCTTGCTTAGGGCTGGCGGGGGCAGGGGGTACAAAGGCGATGGCCAAAGGACACAGAGTCTCTTGTTGAAGTGATGAAAGATTCTAAAATCAACCGTGTGAGTGCTTGCACATACCCACGAACATGCTTTTTAAAAGCCATTGAATGGTACACTTTAGATGAATTGTGTGGTATGGGAAATATATCTCAATGAAGATGTTTCCTTTAAAAGTCACTGTTAGCAAATGGCAGAGCTGAGGCTTGAATCCAGGTCATTATGATCCCACAGCACATCACGCCTCACCCCACCATGGTCTTGGGACTAAATAACAGAAAACACAGACTGTGGTTTGATGTGAAGTGCAGGGGGGCCAGTGGGGGCAAGAGCATGCTGCGGTTTCAAGGCTGGATGGCCAGGAAGTTGGCGAAGGTGTTAAGAAAAGCCAGCATGAATGGAGGAGGAATTACTGTGGGAATCAAGAAACTACTGCAGGCAGAGTCCAGTGCGCCCACATGGCCTCCAAGCAGAGCTGCTGTGCAGGGCTTTGACAAGGTGAGACTGAAGCTTGGAGGGATGCCAGGGCTGGAGAGCCATCTGGGATCCATCTGCATGGAGCTGCTGATAGAGGCCAGGAGTCGGTGACGCAGAGGCCGTGGAGACGTGACCCTTGGGAAACACACCAAAGGTGTGAGTGCAGAGGTGCCGGGTGAGGGAGGGTTGGAGAGGCTCACCGGCACACGCGAGGTCATGAGTGCCGGGGAGCTCTGGCAGATGGGACACAGGGAGCGGCAGGCAGGTGCCTGGATTCCGTCACCCCAAGGCCCTAAAGCAGGGGCCTCTGGTGCCTGGATTCCGTCACCCTGAGGCCCTAAAGCAGGGGCCTCTGGTAAGTGGAGAGATGGAAGCCAGATTGTACAAAATTGGGAATAGAAACGATTGCCTAGAACAGGAAGCTTAGGTAAGACCCTCACTGGGAGGGGAAGGTAGGTTTGAAGAAGAAAGGTTGTTTTTAGCCAGAGCTAAAGGCAGGCTTGAACATGCTTGTGGGGAAAGGCCCCGGAGTGACTGAAGGCATGAGAAAGGAACAGCTGCACAATGTTCATGGACACCAGAGGTTCTGGGTGGCAGGGAGGGTGAGTTCATAAGCCAGAGCAGGAAGGTCACCCTTGAAGGGTGGTGAGAGGGACAGAAGTCAGTGTGGATGCGGGAAAGTCACACTGAGGTTGGGAAGAGCACAGCAGAGAGCGCCCACTGCAGATGCCTAGTCAGCCTTCTCAGCAAACCCGTGAGAAATTGTCTGCAGAGTAGGGCTCTGTGAAGATCGGGATACCGGAGGCGTGAGGCCACTCACAGATGATTCGAAAGGCTGCTGAGCCCGGAAAGACTGAGCTGAGACAGAGGGGCGTGGATCTGTAGTGCAACTGATGCATCCAGTGTTAGGACTTTCTCTAGCCATGACCAGGGGAGCTTGGAAGAGGAAGAGGCTGCCTGCAGTGAAGCATGGGGATCAGCATTGGAGCCAGAGCACGGCCATGGTCGGGAGGACCAAGAGTGCTTCTCACAGTGCCCAGAATCACCAAGCCCAGGCCCAGCCCAGGGGACGGGGATGGCTGACTCACACCAGGTGCCCCTGTGCCAGGCATGCGTTACTGTGCTGAGCCATGGACGTGCACCACCTACCCCAGGAGGTGGGTCTCCATATCATCATACCCGTTTACAAGATGAGGAAACTGAGGCTTGGAAGACTTGGGACTTGAACACAGGCAGTGTCACTGTAAAGGCTCAATTATCAAACAAACCTTATCACCCGCCAGCCCAGAAGGGACAGATACCGTGGAGAGGGCAGCTCGGGGGTCTAAGGTAGGCAAGAGAGACTGACAGAGAAACTCAAGGGAGCTAGTCAGGATGGCAAGGAGCCATTTGAGGAAAGTGAAGGAACTGAGAAGGCCTGGAAGGGTCAGTGTGGAGCTGAGACCCCAGGGACTATGAACCCGGTGCTGAACTCCTCCGGGAAGCAGCGCATCCGGGGGTGATTAGATGATAGTTGTCAGGACCAGGAAAGGGTGAGCTTAAGCAGAAAGCACAAAACATGGAGAAAGGAGACTTGTGAGGAGGACAAATGCCGACTTAAAACCCCCACGGGGAGCGAGAAACTCTGCTTAGCTGCTGCCCCTGGATTAGGGACGACAGTTGGGGGACAAGCTGTCCTCTGCTGTGCAGAGCCGGGAAGACAGGGCCTTGAGCACCTAGTGCTAGGAGCTGAAGGACAGGCTTGAGGAAGGGCGAGCGGGGATGGCACTGCACTGGGGCAAGCCCAGGCTCTGGAGTCACCCCTGCCCAGGCTCAAACCTCAGCCCTACTGGAACGAGAGACTCCTCTCTCTGGACCCCAGTCTCCACCTGCCCGATGGAGCCTCCGCATTCTCAGAATTTTGTGAGCATGGAAAGAAGTTACAAAGGCTAACCTCCTGGTTAATACAGACGCCCAGTAAATGAGAGGCGTGACTGGGATCACGAGAACAAGGGTCCCAGCAGAGACAAAGGGTGCTAGAGAGGTACAGAGTTTTGCAGTTGGCACGAAGAAAAGATTCCAGAAAGGGATGGTTGGATCAATGACAATCAAGATTGTGTTCAGGAGCAATGAGGAGGTGGAGAGAAGCCAGGCCCCAGGTGAGGGTTGGCGGGGCCAGGAAGGGCCGGAAGGTCCTGGGTTCTAAGGGCCCTCCAAGGGCCACCTGTGAGGTCAGCGGCGTGTATGTGCCTCTGGCTCCCACATGCCGCCCACCGCAGTCTGGGCTCACCTGGCCCCAGCACAAGCCTCTTGAATGTTTTCACTGAGAAATTCCTTCATAACGTT